TCACATTTTCCAGATTTTGGACACCATCGATGGAAAAGGCCAGATCTTTGGCCATATCTAGTCGTCAATGGCGGCCAAAGATATGGCCGTCGTTGACTACCAAAAGCGACCAGATCTGGCCATCAATGGTGGATCTGGTCTTTTTCAACTAGATCTGGCCTTTTTCAACTAAATCCACAGTGGATCTGGCTGGAAAAGTCATCTCGGCGCACGACCGGCCAGATCCAGCCAATCGTATGCTGATATGGAGACTCCGGCCACCCTCCGATGGTGGTGGCCAACTGCCAATATTTAATGGATGGGTGGGAGTGTTTTGATAATTTTCAATGTTTTTATTACTGAGGTATTTAGTAAATTAACAAACCTAAGGGGGTGTTTTTGTTAATTTTTAAATCCTACCTCGTTATTACCACTTAACTCTTACTTTTTCAAAAATACTATCCAAAATACTAAAACAAACGCACCCTTGTTATTATTATGACTATTGAGTAGACCTGGCAAAACAGGTCTGAACCCGCAGGTCGGCCCGTACCTGAGTAAATAATATAGGGTACGAGTCTTTGGGCCCGTTTATTTTTTACCCGCACCCGGCCTTACCCGTTTTATAAACAGGTAGACCGGGTACACCCACGGGTGCCCGTTTGTAACTTAAAAAAAAAAAAAAAAAACTAATTCTTCTCCAAACCACAAGCCACCGCCTATTCTCTTTAGTCTCTCCCATGTTCACCGTAATTTAGATTTGGGAAAACTTGCAGGGGAAAAGCTCATTCACTTCAGCCAGAAGACTCAGCAGCATATGTATTACTCTCCAATTTGTATGCTGTAGTAGGACATTGGCAAGAGAGAGCTAAAAAGAGGAACCCATTCACATAACGACGATCTCTCATACCCCATAGCTCCCAGGTGGCCACCATGTGCGTAAGCATGTCTCCAATTCCTCCCTCAACAGCAATTCTTGGGAGCTGTAAAATAAAAAGTAATCAGACTATTAGTCCTTTAAACTATGTCCTTTTTTATTCAAAGACAAGTAATCAAAAGAGAGACAATAAAATTAATCAACAGAGAAAGACAAGCGGTTACAGTCTACAATTTGTACTTCAGCACTAGATTATAGGCTATTCACAAGTATAAGAATTATCAAGAAGTATCTAGTATCTTACAATCAGCTGATTTATTAGTCTATTCAAATTACAACTACAAATATACCATGCCAGGCCTAGAATTTCAATTTAACAAATCAATGTCTCCTTAATCAAATTAAAAATCATTAACAATACAAAGAACTTCAAATACAAAAAGTATTTTCATGCAAGTGGAACGGGATTTAACCTCAGTAAATCTGCATCCAACTCTTGTTCAATAGTCCTGACAGCCCTGGTTGCTCATTTGAGTACATAAGAATTGCATTCCCTTCTTCCCAGCACGGCCAGTTCGTCCTGGTCGTGTGACAAAAGTTTCTGAACTGTTTGGAAGCTCATAATGTATTACCAATAAAAATTTAAAAAAAAAAAAAAAGAAAGCGGTGAAAAAAAAGTGAACTCTAGATATGTAGAGAGAACAATGATAGCAGTTCATCAATTAAATGAAGCAGACAATTTAACATAAAAAATAAAAAAAAAAATTACTCGAAATATATAATGTGGAGACAAAATAAAACTTGTTCACTAGTTATCACGCAAATCTCACAAAAACATAATAGTTGCACACTTTTAGATCAAGCAAGAACCATATCAACTATCCAACAATGAAACAGGTAGACAGATAAATTCTCAATTAAAATGGAAAAGTTGGGCACAGAATGAGTAACCTAAGCAATGTCATAATAATTATGATCCAGAACATTATCAGGAATCAAAGAGAACTGGTACCTGATAAAAAGAAGGTAGACGGATATGATACAAATAAATTATGGGAGAAAAAAAAAACAGAAAAGAAGTACACAAAATATTGGCATACACATACGGTTTAGATATAGAGCATCAATATATAAACTTCACATAAGGTGAACAGTAAAACATGAAAAAATCACACTTCAGCTTTTTGAAGAATAAAGGAATATGCATCAGAAAAAAACAATAATAGTGACTAAGATGGCAACAAATTATCAAAAAACTGGTTAAAACAAGGATGGTATAGACATGACCAGGTCAACATTAGGTACATCAAGACCACGTCGCAGCAACATCAGTAGCAACCAGTATATTGAAATGCCCATCTCGGAAGCCTGAGAGGGTTCTTTCCCTCGACTTTGTGAGATATCCCCATGTAAAGGCTCACATTTATAGTTCTTCCATAGCATAGGCCAAACGGTCGGCATCCGTTTTGTCTGAGTGAAAACAATGCATTTTCCTTTTAGCATGTTCCTATACACAAATATATGTTGTGAGAGGAGAGAAGAAGGTTCAAATCGAAATTAATCACAAAATAACCCCCAACACGATACAACTTTAGCATCAAACTGAAATAGCAAACAAAGAATGAAGATCTAGATTCATACTGTTATGAGAGGACCAACAATTGAGGTTTGCATACATCTCTGATGCAATGGAATAGAGGGAAATTCCATCAGCCAATTTCTGATCAGATTCTCCAACCTGGGATAAGAATAAAAACACATAAAGGCATTGAAATTACAGGATCAGACAACATTAACTCTATTTCAGGAAGCCAACTGTAGTATCATCTCACCCTTTTTCAAATACATGTCCACAAACACAACCAAATAGAAGAATAACTAAATTCTATCCCAACAAGAATTTCATAAACTAAGCATAAATCCAATAAAAAAATTAAATCTTCACACTTACAAGATCGATAGTTAAAGGATTTTTAAGGTACTTATGCGTGAGGTTTCTAATCCAAGGTGGCATTGTTGCAGAGAACATCAACTTTGCCGCTTCTGTGGTAACTTGTCCAAGATGGTTTCAACGGCTTCCGCAAAGCCAACGCTAAGCATCTGATCAGCTTCATCAAGAACAACAAACTGAACCTCTGACAAGTTGAGAGCACCTCGCTTGATCAAATCAAAATGCGACCAGGTGTCCCGACAGCGACATCAACACCATAATCAAGAGCCCGCATTTGACTGGATATAGGAGTACCCCCATAGACACAAATGGTGTCCAATCCAGGAGCAGACTCCTGAAATTCCTTGTCTACTTGCTTTGCAAGTTCTCTTGTAGGCGCCAAAACCAAGCACAGAGGATTCCTTCCTCGTCTGCATATCACAGTACAGCATAACAAATTAAACCATAATAATAATTATCAATATTTATACTTTTATATATACAGAATTTTTTTTTTTTTTTTTTTTTTCCAAATCCAGAATCCAGGGAACCTCCTAGCTGAGCCCCCAACCAAGGCCATGCAGTTGCCCATGAGGCGGCTCGAATCCCAGACCTTGTCGGAGCAATCCACAGGCCTGAAAATCCAGCTAAGCCTCATGGGTGTATTATATAATATAATTATATATATATATATATATAGAGAGAGAGAGAGAGAGAGAGAGAGAGAGAGAGGTTAATGAGCAGTTTTCGGATACAATGATAAGTTTCTAAAAACAAAAGAGTCACATGAAATTAAAAAAATATTATTAGAAGAGAACAAACCCATGTTTAGCATTGAATTGAATGATCTTATCAAGAATTGGAATCCCAAAAGCGAGGGTTTTGCCGTCCCGTTCTGGCTCGACCAATCATGTCGCGACCCTGCATTGCTGGTTCCAAGACGGCTTTGTATGGGGAAACAGCTTCGATATTCCTTTACGGCTCAAAGCACTTACAATTTCTGGAGAAATGCCTAGCTTTGATATCTCAAGTCCATCATCTTTATTATCTTCCACCGCATACTCGTCCACAGCAGACTCAGCATGCCACGCCCTACCCGCCTTAAAATCCAACGGCCCAGATTTTCACATGGAAATCTAAGCCCCTACCCTCCTAGCCAAAAACCCCATAGTTCCAACATCACGGGGAACAACGGCGCCGTTTTGTGAAGGCAAGGGATGGTTGTTGTACAATACGTTTTCGGTGGAGCTCAAGGCGGCGGTGAGAGCCCGCTTTGGGGCAAGATATGATGATGATCTTCGAAGTATTATGCTCATCATTTTTTTTTTTCCTGTGTTGAGAGAAATGAGAAGAGGTTTGGGTTTTAGAAGTGGGTGTGAGGCGGACAGAAGGAAAGAGAAACGAGAAGGGTTTAGGAGAAAAGTAAAGGCGGTCCCAGATATTATGGAGTTTGCATCACCGTGGTCGTTATTATTTTGATTATCGTTAAAAACTTTCAAAATTACATTATTTCTATCCATATTCCAATCCAATTCCTGAAATATGTTGGTACATTATTAAGAAATATTAATATATTTTTTTTAATTTTAGACCTCTTGAGTTTATTAATTTCTTAATACCTCTAGGAAAAAAGTTTTAAATTAACAAAAACACCCCCATTCACACTATACTTGCCAGATTCCGACAACCACCTCGGTGGTAGCCAGAATCTGTAACAACGGGTGAATTAACGATCGGAACTGGCCATCGCAAGAAATGACCATAATTGGTCATATCTTTGGCCGTCGTTGACAGCTAAATCTGAACTTTTGTCGCCGTTGACGGCCAGATCTGATCGTAGATTGGTCTTTTCTTACCGATTCGTGGTGGATCTGGTCGAAAAATGCATATCGACGCCCTACTCGTAGATCGAATGTTGGAACTTATATTGATTTAGGTTAAAATACTTAAGATACTGTTTAGTATAAAACATTATACTATATAATATTGTGTCAAACATAGTAGTACTATATTAATTTATCTTTAATTTTTCAGTTAAATTTTTAATACGAGTTCTTTAAAATTTAATAATTAATTTAAAAATAACAGTTAAACATATAGACCTCAAGTTTGATGTAATAAAAAATCCCTCTATTAAAACTTATACTACGAAGATTTAATCAAAATTTACCTAATTTCCCTTAACATAATTTTTGTTATTTCAAAGTTCCTTGATTAATTATAACTCAAAGGAAAAATGTCATTTAACTCTGTAAATAATTATAACATAACATCGAAATTCATGTTTCAGGATGCTCCAAATTTAACTGAAGGCATTTGCCTAGCAATGCTTTCGCTTTACTTTTATCACAACGCTGGAAACAAAAACTACTTGCGCTGACAACTACTCTCCATGAATAGACTACACATTGTCCTCTTCTCGACATCTATATAAGAATACAATTATGACTAAAATATTGACAACAAATATGCAGCTCAGAACGTGCTCACATACCAAGAAAATGTAATCCACAATATAGCCCTCCAAACTTTGGTAAATACTTTCAAGTCTCTTCACATTTATTCCCGAGTATGTCTTCTTGTATTGCTGTCAATTGCCACCCATTACCTGCCATTGCATGTGAAAACCATAATTTTGGCACACAAACTACCCCGCCAACAATGAACTATTCAACAGAGGAGACTCGCATCTATATGAAACATGAAAACATACCACGTTGCCCCATTCACTCCAGCTTTACTAAAAACCATATATGATCATTCAACATTAAAATTCGTTTGCACTGAAAATATACTACTTGATGAAAGCTGAATCTTAACATGACAATGAATGCGACATAGCAAATTCAACAAATTTGCTTCTTTCCTACAGTTGTTCTTTCTTTCCTCTTAAATTTGTGCATGGGGAAGAGGGGGATCAGGAGGCTGTCAGGGGAGACTGCCAGGTTTGCATTCCTCCCTATAGTTTTGGTAGAGGGCTACTGTGAGACCCTTAAGGATGCCAAGGGTATGGACAAGCGTGTGGCTTTCATCCTTAGCCACAGCCTTGCCAAGACAATACATGGTTATATACTAAATAAGTATGGGCGAGATCAGGCATGGGGTGCTTGAGCGTTGAGACGCCAAGCACTCACCGATGAGATGGCTAGCGGGCACTTGTAAGCTTGAACATATGCGTGCAGGCATGTATCAAAATGGGCATGGGGCGCCCATGGGCAGGTCAAGCAAGCACACGAGCTGGGACTTGTGCAAACAGGCAAGGCGAGCAGCAAGTGGTCGAGTACACGCATAAGGCAGACAACAATGTGCATGGGGTGCATGTGGACATGCGCTAGATGATGGGATGCTCAAACAAGGCTGCATGGTTGCTGGACAAAGGTCGTGGGACGGTTTTATTTGTCTAGATAGACTTGTATGTGAGCAAACTGCTTGATAACTGCTAGATAGCGGTGTAACTGTTGTTGTAACTGCTATGCCAACATGTATATAAGGCAAGCAGGTTGTATAATTAGAGAGAGAGAGAGAGGGCAAGGGATATGTGTGTGTATTCCTTTGTTGTAACTTGGGTGCTTAATCTGTGATTGGGATCAGATTGTAATCAGTGGGAAACACTGTGAGGGTGCTTAAGTTCCTTGTATTCGGAATCTATAATATAAGGTTGGGTTTTCCCGTATATTCTATGTATAACAATTTCATTAGCCTCTCTTGTTTATTGTGTTTGTAATCTGTAACAGGGATACGCACACTTGAAGAAGGCTAACAAGTGCTAGGCGTGCTTGTGCCAAACAGTGCCTAGAAGGGAGTTTAGGCCCTGTGACAGCTACCATGTTCAATGCAACCAAAGCAACTTTTACGTTTTAATCTCAATGTTAAAATTCCCACTAATTTCAATCATATATGCAACAAAATCTAAAATATAGCATAATTCAAACATACAAAAGCAGCTGTCAGGCAATATCAAAATGAAGAAGTCTGATATATTCAGAATCAAAAGGAAGCAAAATACATATGGGTCCAATGTTTCTACAGAAAAGTAAAGGGGAAGAAAAGGCTTACCTGAAGTTAGGATGAATTTCGTCCACTATTCTGGTTATCATCAGTTCTGTTTTTTTCCAAAGCTTCCAAAAGGATTAGAATCTGAATTGCCATAACCTCCACCAGTCCAGCTTGATTGATTTCCACCAAAGTTCCCAAATCCACCTGAACGATCTGACCCATTGAACTCCCCAAATCCACCCGAACGACTAGATCCAGGACCACTAAAGTTCCCAGGTCGATTTGTATAAGAACCAAAGCGGCCAGAGCTAGAGCCACCATAATCACCACCTTGACTAAAACGGCCAGATCCAGAACTTCTGTAGCCTCCAGAGCGCCCAAACCCAGAATCCCCCATGCCACTGGAGCGGCCAAAACCCATATCACCATAACGACGATCTCTCATACCCCCATAGCTCCCAGGTCGGCCACCCATGTCGCTAAGCATGTCTCCAATTCCTCCCTCAACAGCAATTCTTGGGAGCTGTAAAATTAAAAAGTAATCAGACTATTAGTCCTTTAAACTATTGTCCTTTTTTATTCAAATTGACAAGTAATCAAAAGAGAGACAATAAAATTAATCAACAGAGAAAGACAAGCAGTTACAGTCTTAACAATTTTCGTACTTCAGCACTCGATTATATGGCTATTCACAAGTATAAGAATTATCAAGAAGTATCTATACACATCAGCTGATCTTATTAGTTTATTCAAATTACACCTACAAATATACCATGCCAGGCCTAGAATTTCAAATTTAACAAATCAATGTCCCTTAATCAAATTAAAATTCATTAACAATACAAAGAACTTCAAATACAAAAAGTATTTTCATGCAAGTGGAACGGGATTTAACCTCAGTAAATCTGCATCCAACATCTTGTTCAATAGTCCTGACAGCCCTGGTCTGCTCATTTGTGTAGATAAGAATTGCATTTCCCTTCTTCCCAGCACGGCCAGTTCGTCCTGTTCGGTGAACAAAAGTTTCTGAACTGTTTGGAAGCTCATAATGTATTACCTAATAAAATTAAAAAAAAAAAAAAAAAAAAAAAGAAAGAAAGAAAGAAGCGGTGAAAAAGTGTACTCCAGAATATGTAGAGAGAACAATAATAGCAGTTTCATCAATTAGAATGAAACAGACAATTTAACATAAAAATAAAAATAAAAAATTACTCGAAATAATATAATGTGGAGACAAAATAAAACTTGTTCACTAGTTATCATGCAAATCTCACAAAAACATAATAGTTGCACACCTTTTAGATCAAGCAAGAACCATATCAACTATCCAACAATGAAACAGGTAGACAGATAATTTCTCAATTAAATTGGAAAAGTTGGTCACAGAAATGAGTAACCTAAGCAATGTCATAATAATTAATGATCCAGAACATTATCAGGAATCAAAGAGAACTGGTACCTGATAAAAGAAATAAGACGTGATATGATACAATAAATTATGGGAGAAAAAAACAGAAAAAGAAGTACACAAAATATATGGCATACACATACGGTTTAGATATAGAGCATCATATATATAAACTTCACATAAGATGAACAGTAAAACATGAAAAAAGCACACTTCAGCTTTTTGAAGAATAAAGGACATATGCATCAGAAAACACATAATAGTGACTAAGACGGCAACAAATTATCAAAAAACTGGTTAAAACAAGGATAATGGTATAGAACTGACCAGGTCAACATTAGGTACATCAAGACCACGTGCAGCAACATCAGTAGCAACCAGTATATTGAAATGCCCATCTCGGAAGCCTGAGAGGGTCCTTTCCCTCTGACTTTGTGAGATATCCCCATGTAAAGGCTCACATTTATAGCTTCTTCCCATAGCATAGGCCAAACGGTCGGCATCACGTTTTGTCTGAGTGAAAACAATGCATTTTCCTCCTTTAGCATGTTCCTATAACACAAATATCTGATTGTGAGAAGGAGAAGAAGGTTCAAATCGAAATTAATCACAAAATAACGCCCAACACGATACAACTTTAGCATCAAACTGAAATAGCAAACAAAGAAATGAAGATCTAGATTCATACTGTTATGAGAGGACCAACAATTGAGGCTTTTGCATACATCTCTGATGCAATGGAATAGAGGGAAATTCCATCAGCCAATTTCTGATCAGATTCTCCAACCTGGGATAAGAATAAAAACATTAAAGGCATTGAAATTACAGGATCAGACAACATTAACTCTATTTCAGGAAGCCAACTGTAGTATCATCTCACCCTTTTTCAAATACATGTCCACAAACACAACCAAATAGAAGAATAACTAAATTCTATCCCAACAAGAATTTCATAAACTAAGCATAAATCCAATAAAATAAATTAAATCTTCACACTTACAAGATCGATAGTTAAAGGATTTTTAAGGTACTTATGCGTGAGGTTTCTAATCCAAGGTGGCATTGTTGCAGAGAACATCATACTTTGCCGCTTCTGAGGTAACTTGTCCAAGATGGTTTCAACGGCTTCCGCAAAGCCAACGCTAAGCATCTGATCAGCTTCATCAAGAACAACAAACTGAACCTCTGACAAGTTGAGAGCACCTCGCTTGATCAAATCAATAATGCGACCAGGTGTCCCGACAGCGACATCAACACCATAATCAAGAGCCCGCATTTGACTGGATATAGGAGTACCCCCATAGACACAAATGGTGTCCAATCCAGGAGCAGACTCCTGAAATTCCTTGTCTACTTGTTTTGCAAGTTCTCTTGTAGGCGCCAAAACCAAGCACAGAGGATTCCTTCCTCGTCTGCATATCACAGTACAGCATAACAAATTAAACCATAATAATAATTGATCAATATTTATACTTTTATATATACAGAATATTTTTTTTTTTTTTCAAATCCAGACATACCGGGAACTTCCTAGCTGTAGCCCCAAACCAAGGCCATGCAGTTGCCCATGAGGCGGCTCGAATCCAGACCTTGTCGGAGCAATCCACAGGCCTGAAAATCCAGCTAAGCCCTCATGGGTGTATATATATATATTATATATATATATATAATTATAGAGAGAGAGAGAGAGAGAGAGAGAGAGAGAGAGAGAGAGAGAAGTTAATGAGCAGTTTTCGAAACAATGGATAAGTTTCTAACAACAAAAGAGTCACCATGAAATTAAAAAAATATTTATTAGAAGAGAACAAACCCATGTTTAGCATTGAATTGAATGATCTTATCAAGAATTGGAATCCCAAAAGCGAGGGTTTTGCCCGTCCCCGTTCTGGCTCGACCAATCATGTCGCGACCCTGCATTGCTGGTTCCAAGACGGCTTTTTGTATGGGAAACAGCTTCGATATTCCTCTACGGCTCAAAGCACTTACAATTTCTGGAGAAATGCCTAGCTTTGATATCTCAAGTCCATCATCTTTATTATCTTCCACCGCATAATCGTCCACAGCAGACTCAGCATGCCACGCCCTACCCGCCTTAAAATCCAACGGCCCAGATTGCACATGGAAATCTAAGCCCCTGTCCCTCCTAGCCAAAAACCCCATAGTTCCAACATCACGGGGAACAACAGCGCCGTTTTGTGAAGGCAAGGGATGGTTGTTGTACAATACGTTTTCGGTGGAGCTCAAGGCGGCGGTGAGAGTCCGCTTTGGGGCAAGATATGATGATGATCTTCGAAGTATTATGCTCATCATTTTTTTTTTCCTGTGTTGAGAGAAATGAGAAGAGGTTTAGGGTTTTAGAAGTGGGTGTGAGGCGGACAGAAGGAAAGAGAAAGGAGAGAGGAGAAAGGGTTTAGGAGAAAAGGACGGTCCCAGATATTTATGGAGTTTGCATCACCTGTGGTCGTTATTATTTTGATTATCGTACATGCAACACACAAAAACTTTCAAATATTAAAATTGGCCGTCCGTCAGATTCACATACTAAATATGCATTGTATAGTCAAGGAAGGTTACACGAAACCTCTTGCAGAGGCCTGGAGGTCAACAAAATGTAGAGCGTAGCACTGCCTTCGATTATCTGCACATTTTTATAGATATTTTTATTTTATTATATCTAAATGTTAAAAAAATAAATATATATATTAATTTGTGTAGTTTACAAACAGATGTTTTAAGATATTAGAATAAAATTTTAGTAATTTGTACCATATAATATGAATTTCTACTTTGATGCGTAGGGAAGTGATTTCTTAAGTTGTAACCATATATAAAATTACTATAAAGGACTTCTATCTTAAAAGCTTCCTTTCTCGAAATTCTATGAAGCTGTTGGCAGTAAGGTGGAAAAGTGGCCCAACCCGCGACGGGTTAGTGCAAATTAGGCCTGGCCCGCGCTCTTTGTTCAAAATGGTCAACCCCGATCCGGCCCACCAAGTACCAACCCTAATCCATTGGGTTTTTATGGCCGGCCCTACAAAAAATTATTTTTTTATTTTTTTCTTTTACGTAATTTTTTTGAGTAATACTAGCCTTACAAAGAGGCATACAAAGAATCATACAAAGAGTCAAATCCAGCCCTTAAAATTCATGATTATATTTTTCTCTCTCTCTTTTTCCCTTTTTTCAAGGGTTGGATTTGACTCTTTGTATGCTTCTTTGTAAAGCTAGTATTACTCATTTTTTTTAGATAACTTTTCAAGTATCAATTCAATTAAATTAATTTTTTTTTAGCTAACATTTCAAATATTAATTCAATTTTAATATAATTAAATTGTAATATAATAATAATTAGATTTATTCATTTATCAAAAAATAAAATAAGAAATTACAATAATTATTACCTCGTTAAAAACCTTATAAAGAAAAACTCAATTGGGACAAAAACTTAATAAGAAAAAAAGAGTGTAATAATTGATAATTAATTTACAAATTATAATATTATTTTTACTTTTACTTTGCTAAGGTAGAAGAGAACTGAGCCAACTAGACTAGATATCTGGACCTCTAAATCAATGGAAGGAAGTGGTATGACCCTTTTATTCCTATTTACTTGTCGTCGAGTGGCCTAGGAGGAGAGATATCTCCTCACATATCCAATCTTACATCGATGCAGATTCTGTAAGTATTTAAATCTCATTTAGACCTGTTAGTTGTCAACCTACTAATGATTGGAATTTGGAACCAGTTAAATAAGCCTAACATTTCAATTACTATTTCAGGGACTTATCAACTAAAAGTTTGATTGGACTAGTGCCTAATTTTTTATCACAATTATAATTTTTGACCAAGCTGTAAGTTATTTAGGGTGTATTTGTTTCCCTATTTTTACCCTATCATTTTCAAAATACATATTTGTTTCCCTATTTTGAAAATACTATTATATTTTATTCAATTTTTTAAACCCCCTAAGTTTGTTAATTTAACTAAACATCCCCAAAAAAAAGTTTAGAAATTGACAAAAATACCCCCACCCACTCACATTTGCTAGATTTCGGCTATCATCGACAGAAGGTGGCCGGAATTTGGTATAATGGCACACTACCAGTTGGATCTGGCAGATAGTGGGCCGATATAGCCTATAGAAAAGGCCAGATCTTTGGCCATAACTAGTCATCAACGACGGCCAAAGATATGGCCATCGTTGACGACCAAACGCAGCTAGATCTGGCCTTTTCTGGCTAGATCCATGGTAGATCTGACTGAAAAAAGTCATCTAAGCACACAATCGGCTGCAATTGGCCAAATCCAGCCGATCGTGTGCCGATATGGCGACTCCGGCCACCCTCTGGCGGTGGTGGCCAGCTGCTAGTATTTAACGGGTGGGTGGGGGTGTTTTGATAATTTTTAATGTTTTTATTACAGAGGTGTTTAGTAAATTAACAAACCTAAGGGGGTGTTTTTGTTAATTTTCAAATCCTATCTCGTTATTACCACCCAACTCTTATTTTTTCAAAAATACTATCCAAAATACTAAAACAAACGCACCCTAGTTATTATTATGACTATTGAGTAGACTTAGCAAAACAGGTCTGAACTTGTGGGTCGGCCCGTACCTGAGTAAATAATATAGGGTTACCCGGCCTTACCCGTTTTATAAACGGGTAGATCGGGTACACCCGCGAGTACCTATTTGTAATTTAAAAAAAAAAAAAAAAAAAAAAAAACTAATTCTTCTCCAAACCAACCGGGGGCAGTTTATTAAAACAACCTCTCAAATTTGAATTTAATTAAAAGGCTATCAAGTTTTAAAGTTTTAACTAAATAGCCATATTATTGATTAAGGGTAATTAAACTTGATTAGTGCTTAATTATGATTAAAGAAGTATTATGTAATCTTTTAAAAATTATACTATATTCCCAAAAACCTGAAATTCTTGCAAACAAACCCAAACACCTTCTTCTTCCTCCGCCATTAACGCATCTCTACCTTGGTTGCTGTTTCTTCTTAGCTTCGTCTACATCTTCTTCTTTGTCTGCATCTTCTTCTTCTTCTTCCTCCTTCCTCCTTCCTCTACATCTTATTCTTCCTCATTCCTCTATATCTTCTTGTTCCTCCGTCATTAACACTTTCTTCTTCCTCCACCACTAACATCTTCTCTACCAAAGATCCCCTCCTCCTCCTCCTGAAATTTCGTCTAAGTATGTGTATCTCCTCTTTATATTTTATATTTTATATTTAGATTTACAAAGATTTAATAATGGATGGGGTTTGAGTTATGATTTTGATTTAGTTGTTTAGGTTGTTGGGTTGTGTTTGATATAATGCAAGTTGAAAGGAGTGAAATTTGTTGAATATTTCCTTGCATTGTGAGTAGCTAGGGGTGATAGCACCAATTGTAGGTGGAGATGGCTGAAAATGTGTTTTGGATCTAATGGATCGCTTAAGTGATCTGGTATATGACAGAAGATCGCTTAAGCGATCTGGTATAAGTTTGATATATGGTACCAGATCGCTTAAGCGATCTGGTATATGACAGAAGATCGCTTAAGCGATCAGATATATGGCAGCAGATCGCTTAAGCGATCAGGCTTATTTGTACTAGATCGCTTAAGCGATATACTAGATCGCTTAAGCGATGCAGTAAGCTATATACTTCGGTAAGAAATTATATTCCATAATGTTTATTTAATATTTAGTCCTTTTTTATTAATTATTAATTATTTTTTTCATTTCAATAGAATGTGAAAAGAACACTTCGGTCTTAATCAGCACCATACATAAAACTGAAAAATCTATTGTTATTCTATTATTTTTGTTAGTTCTTGGCAAGAAAGTAATATAAAAAAATATAATATTGATATAAAATTGAACTCTGCAACCATCTGCTCTGCACTCTATAGACTAAGGCTAAATAGACGGGATCGCTTAAGCGATTAAGGGTAATTTACTTCAATGTTTATTTTCCATGTTTATGGACATATGTTTAATATAGGTGTAAAAGAACTAATTTAATTAAAATATAATAACGGTCATAATCCACTGAATGAATTGTACACCTGATATGTTTAATATAGATGTAAACATTCTACACCATATATGTTTAATATAGCCGTAAAAGAACTAATTTAATTAAAATATAATAACGGTCATGGTCCACTGAACGAATCATACAATTGATATGTTTAATATAGACGTAAACATTCTACACCATATGTGTTTAATATAGCCATAAAAGAACTAATTTAATTAAAATATAATAACGGTCATGGTCTATTGAACAAATCGTACACCTAATATGTTTAATATAGATGTAAACATTCTACACCATATATGTTTAATATAGCCGTAAAAGAACTAATTTAATTAAAATATAATATCGGTCATGGTCCACTGAACGAATCATACACCTGATATGTTTAATATAGACGTAAACATTCTACACCATATATGTTTAATATAGCCGTAAAAGAACTAATTTAATTAAAATATAATAACGGTCATGGTCCACTGAACGAATCGTACACCTGATATGTTTAATATAGACGTAAACATTCTACACCATATATGTTTAATATAGCCGTTAAAGAACTAATTTAATTAAAATATAATAATGGTCATGGTCCACTGAATGAATCGTACACCTTATATGTCTAAGATAGCGTTAATCACTTAACCAATCTAGTGAAATACAATAAAAATAATCCAAATACACTGGATCGCTTAAGAGATTTCATTTCTCGCTTAAGCGATCCTGTGTATTTAGACTTAGTCGCTTAAGAGATTTGGATGTATTTATGTCATCGCTTAAGCGATTCTATGCTTTTACACTTGGTCGCTTAAGCGATCATCATAGATCGCTTAAGCGATCATCATAGATCGCTTAAGTGATCACGAACAAGACAAAATAAATAAGTGCCCAGACGCACGATCGCTTAAGCGATTTATTCTATCGCTTAAGCGATCCTTTGCTTTTAACCTTGGTCGCTTAAGCGATCATGTCCGAGGCAGAATAAACTTCTACCTAGATGCACAATTACTTAAGCGATTAAGTATATCACTTAAGCAATTCTTCGTTTTTATTATTGGTCGCTTAAGCGATCATGAACAAGACAATAAATAAGTGCCCAGACACATGATCGCTTAAGCGATCCTTTGCTTTTAACGTTGGTTGCTTTAAGTGATCATGTCTGAAGCAAAATCAACTTCTGCCCAGATGCACGATCGCTTAAGCGATCTAAAATCGCTTATACTAGACCGCTTAAGCGATCTTCTGTCATATACCAGATTGCTTAAGCGATCCTTTGCTTTT